TTTATATTATAGCTTCTCTTTTTATATTTTTACCTATAACCTCTTACTTAACCTTAACTAGGGTATTATAATACTTATTTATAACCTTTATATATTTAGCTTATAATCTTATTAGTAAAAATTAATAAACTTTAATTTTAATATATTTATATTTTTAATATATAATTTTTATATCTTTAGATTTAGGCCTTTTATAGAAATGCAATAAGCTATATTATTTAAGCTACTTTTTAGCTAATTTAGAATTATAGAAATATAAATAATAGAATCTATAAGGTAAGTATCTTCTTTAATAGTTATATACCTTAATCTTTATAAATCTATAGAAATAAGGATTAGGTCTTAGGTAGGTATATTAAAGATATCTTATAATATATTAATAATTACTTAATAATATATTATAGTTTAATTTATATTTTACTCCTCTTTTTTAATATTTTATAGACTTTTCTTTAAATAACTTAAAGTTAAGCCTCTTTATATTACCTAACTATTATTAATTAAAGATTAAAGATTATCTTAAGAAATTAATTTAATCTTAAAAGTAAATATTAAGTTTTAAGAATCTATTATTAATATATTAATAATATATTAATAGATATATTTAAAATATAAAAAATAAAGTAAATTTAAAAGAAAATATAAAAAAAAAGCTAATTAAGCCTATACTTTACTTAAAATCTCTAAGGTAGTTAATTAAAATAAGTAACCTATATGCTAGATTGCTTATTAATGCCCTATTAATATAGGCGCTAGTGGGGGCATATGCCAGGTCTTGGCGTTAACCAAGTGGCAGGTTATGTGTATCGACATAGTCATACCAATAGTCTAGATCCCAACCCCTGCTAGCCTCACAATTCTTGGTCGAGAACCTTATCAATGAGAGGCGGGTCGCGGCCCGGTCCCTTAGGTTCAAGCAGTCCTCGTGGCTTGACATACTTTTAACCTATCAAAAGCGCAATAGCTTATCTTCCGCCTTATCTGCCTTGTCCACCTTTCTACTCAAGGCCTGTGTCAAGAATAAATGCCTTTGTCTCGGCTGGTCTCAGCTGTAAATTTGTAATGCAAAATGGTCTTGTGATGAGAATTAGTGTTCCCACTAAAGCTTTACGTCAGCTGGAACATACGCCGTAGCTTTGAACCCAGGATGTTTTTTCTGTATGCCGAACGGCGATTGAATTGTATATTTGTCTCAAGTAGGGAATGCCACTCTTTTAGTTGTAGTGACAGCATCGGCGTGTTGGTGGTACTTGGAGGATGGAGGCACATTCATGATAGAATTGATGGGCTATCACATTGAATAACAAGCTCTGATAAGATTTAGTTAGGGTGCTATGAAACCAGCCCCTTTTTCAGTTCTTGCAAGACTATGTCCACCCAATTCTCGTTTATGCAGTTCCAGATAAACGGAAGTTCTTCTAGGTAGCCACTTCCGCCTAGCTAAACATGGCTACCACCTACAATCGGCTCATCCGGGTAGTAAATCCCAAATAGATTCATACCAATTTTTGTGCCATTTCGGACCGGCAATCCTGCGTGAGCCATTCTCTCATCACGAGTCCCGTTTTGATGCACATTGTGCCATAGTACCGCGTTTCCTTTCTTGGGCTTCACCAAGAGCCCCATGCCAGTTTCAGTTCTTGAAAACTTATCTCCGTCGGCATCCGGACCAACCCCCTTGATATCAGGAAAGTACGTTTCTCCCCCAGTACACTCGTCGCCTATATAGATAAAAGTACTCACCAGTCGATTGAACTTTTTCATACTTCCATCTGGCTGTTTCGCTTCAAGGTGAACTGGCAAGTAATCGTTATGCATTCGGAAGCGCTCCCCGCCCTTATACTTGACGATCTGGAGTCTCTCAGTGTCAGGGTGTTGAAGATTACCTAGCAGTGACTTCAGACGGCTGGCGAGGCAACGGGATACTGGATCTCTATATGATACCATAGCTGATGTAGAGGTACGCCAGGTAGAATTGACCTGAGAAGATATTTTATCCTTCTTGGTGTCGTGTTCGTAGACGTAGGAGGGTGAGAAATCATCTTTTCTGTAGACAGCGTGTGAGAAGTTGCAGATGTTGATATCGCGAGGCCATACTGACGTCTTGTGGAGAAGATGAGCAATCTCATTGTCCTTGACGAACCCATTGATATATATTACCAGTGGGTCCACTGACAAAAGTTCGATGCTATACTCATGCGTACACGCATAGTCATCATCAAGTAGAGGGCTAGCGGCAAATGCGCTGAAAAGGGATAAAGAAGTAGCAGGTATGTAGTTGGAGGCCCATTTCCAAAGATGAAAACAGCTTAAAAGCAGGATACTTGCGGGCACAATAAGCGAAAAGGTGGGCTTCTAATTATTATTAGGCATTAAAAAAGCTCTTTTCAGACCTTGCATATTGCATTACGGGACAGGACTTACCATTTCTTATTCCGTGTTGAAATCGCTGTGTATGTCGTAAGGCGGCTATAGGATGATGAACAAAAACCAGTCGCTCAACTCAGAACGCCAGCTTGGGGAAGCTAGAAGCGCTGACGGTTAAGAAGGTAAGATATTCCTCCTTGATTGTGCACGGCAGTATTAACCGAGTTGACCACGAACCTGGACCCTGACATTTAGACGGAGATTCACATGCCACGCCGGCTGGTAAAGGATAAGCTTGCGGGGTACACAATAGTTCTTAGAATAGGACTCATGCGATAACATATCTATGATGTATCATTTTCAAAGGGGGGTGCCGTTGCGAATGGTTTAGTGTAACACATTTAGTGCTTATAGGGACAGGTCATATCTAGCTTCCTTGCAGACACTTGGAGAGCTGAAAACTTGTCTTTTCATGCAAGCCACTAAAGCTACAGGTTTTACAAATATCAAAGTGGTGGGTTGTAGTCAATCAGCCGGAAGACCGTGAGAGCTGAAAGACCCGAGCTAGCCCATTCAAACTTAAGCCATCTTCCAACCTCGGTGGATAGACTATACTGACGAATTAGAGTACTTAATTAAGCGAGGAAAAGCCAGCACACATATCGTAAGTAGCTCAAAGAGGTTAGGTTTAGATAAAGACATACGGCCGTCATTCAGACCTCCTGCTTTTGTACCGCACTGCAGATGATGGGACGAGCTTCCACGCAGGAAGCAGGGCGTGCACTTATATTTGGCCTCACCTGAACTAATGTAGCATTTTACATGCACTGCCTTGTCGCCCACTATCTTCCATTTATCACATGCCAACAGCTTTTCAAGCATTCGTAAAGCAGTCGTCCAAGCGTAGGCTAGCCGCTAAGATAGCGAGAGTAACTCTCAAACTGCTGGATGATTATCCAGGGTAGTGCTGATAAGGTCGCGTGAACTTCCATTGCGCTTAGAAAGACGTAGTGAACTCGAGTAGCAGGTGTAGGTAAACGCAACCGGTATGTAGTAGCTCCCATCTCATCAGTCCCCATCCATTTTTTAGGGGGCAGCTGGTTTACTACTATCTTTATCTGTTCTTGCCAACTGCTCAAAATTGCCGCTATGGATAGACAGCTACCCCAGTATCCGCCGCGCATGATTGCGGCTACCGAAATTGTGTCAGTTATGGAACGAGCTATAGCCAAGATAACGGCTACGATTGACGAAATCGTGAACGGGACCGATCCGTCTAATGCAACCTTTGAAAGGGTTATTACTCCCTATGTCGCGGCTCATAATTCGTTTCAAGCTGAAATTGGCGTCGTCTTCATGCTCCAATACGCTGCTCCAGAAAAGGTCACTCAAGATGAGGTGTCTAAGGCAGTACGATTGTGGTCTGATGCACTGTCTTCTTGGATGAGTCGCAAAGACTACTTTGCCCTTCTCCAAAGGGTGGAATCAAGAGATCAGTCTATCGACCAGGAGTCAAAGCTTTTGCTGAATGAAATGCTGCTCGACTTTGAAGAGTATGGGCTTGGACGGCTAAATGACGATGAAATGCACCAATTTTTGCATAAGAGTGCCGAAATTGATGATTTGATCATGAGGTTTCAGCGCAACATGGCCCACAATAACAACGGGCTCTGGTTACAAGAAACAGATCTGTGTGGTGTCCCTGAAGAGGCTGTCAACAAGTGGGAGTCCGAGATCAATGATTCAGGATCCTCAAGAAAGTTCGTACCATTTGCAAATGGTGGGACTTCGACATTGGTAACATACGCGAGTACACCAGAGGTCCGTCGTGCAATGTTTGAAGGGGACCACAACAAAATCCCAGAGAACGAATCATTACTCAAGGATATCGTAGTAAAGCGCCATGAGCAGGCAGTCCAACTTGGTCACAAATCACACGCAGCACTTAGGGCCCAAAGGCGGTTACTCAAGTCCCCTGCAGCGATCCGGGACTTCCTGGAGAACTTGAAGCCTGATCTTATGACCCTCGGAAAGGCTGAAATCGATAAGCTCAGCCATTTAGAAGAGGAGGATGACCTCGACGAGAGCAACAACGAGAACAACATACTTGCAGCCTGGGACCACGCTTACTATAGCAAGGTCCGGGAAGAGCAGTTGCAAATAGACCATATGAGGATCTCTGAATATTTTCCGCTTGAGCACGCTGCTGAAGCGATGCTAGGTGTTATGAGTTCATTGTTGGGCCTTCAATTTAATGAAACCAAAAAAGCCGAGCTGGGCTCAGAGTATTTCTGGCACGAGAGTGTCCGAGCGTTTGCGGTATGGGAGGAGAACTATACAAACTTTATCGGATATCTTTTTTTCGACTTGTTGTGGCGCGAAAATAAATATAGAGGCAACCAAAATGTTACGCATCTATGCGTGAGTACCGCGATGCCCTTGCTTGGAGACCTTGCTGACTTGCTTGTTAGGGCTATGAGGAATTAGATGGAAGTAGACGGTGCCCTTCTACTATATTGATGTGCTCGTTTCCAACTGCTAGCGCCGGCCGGCCTGTTTTGCTCAAGCATCGCGAGGTTGTAACCATGTTCCATGGTAAAACCACTCGCTCATTTAACGCGTCCAATTGATCGCTAACTATTCTATATACAGAACTAGGACATGGAATCCATAACCTCGTTTCCAAGACAAAATACGCTCGATTCCATGGGACAAATCTACCCCCCGACTTTGGAGAGATACCAAGCACCCTACTTGAGAATTACTGCTGGATGGCAGACGTGTTGAAGAGGCTGAGCTGTCACTACACAAACCTTAAGCCCGAGTATCTAAGTGACTGGCAATCTCGAAATCCACACACCCCAATTCCTTCTAGAGAAATCCCAGGCGAGCTTATTGACCCGCTCATTAGCAACAGATACATGAATAGGGCGAATTATCATTTGAAACAGTTGTGAGTTTCCTAAGACTTTGCTACTCCCTCGAAGCGAACTAATCCAGCGCTCACTCCAGATCGATCTCTCTTTTCGACCTCGAGATTCACAGTGTAGAGTCTTTGGCAGAGGCGGAAGGCCTCGATCTTCGAGACTTGTTCTATACTCTACGCGAGGATTGCGAGAGCCTTAGCTTCGGTGATCTACGGACCAGAGGCTCTTGGTATGGCACAATACCACATTTAACGGGGGGGTACGATGTTGGGTACTACTCGTACCTTGTATGCACTGCCTTTGCGCAAGACATTTTTCAAACAAGCTTTTCCAAAGCCCCTTGGGACCGGAGAATGTGGGAAAAGTTCAGGTTTGACATTCTTCAGCCTGGAGGGGGCCACCCTGACATGATGGGAGTGTTGAGGGACTTTTTAGGCCGTCAACCAACCCCTGAAGTAATGGTGAAGACTTTAGAGAGTGCCATAGCTTAGTTGCACAAAAGCTTCAAATTATGTCTTAATAGCCTTCCAATAGCCGCTCAAACCCTCTTAGCGGGCCTTCCCTTATCCAACCTCGCACTTAATAATGTTTTTCAGGCTGAAATAAAGCCAGTCTACACAGTACTAGGCATAGGTTGCCGGACTGAATGCCCTCTGAGGTGCAAGGAAATCTGTCGATTCCAGCCCTTCTCAGTTGCCATAAGCAACAATAAGACATACCTAAAGATACATACACACCCGGTGGCTTCATTCTGGATAAGTCCACTTCTTGTCCCACGAAAAGATGTTCAAGCCCAACTTTTGCCCAGACTTGACGGGCAGGGAAGCGTGGCGTACGTCTGGATGGAACGACCCATTTGGGTACATGTTCTCCCAGAAGACAGCGGCGCCTTTTGTCGGTTTGAAAGTAACACCGGAATACTCCTCATCATCGCAATCGATGACGTCGCACCAAGCTGAGTCTTCTGGGCGCTTGAGTAGGGGAAAGTTTGTTCCGCCACCTGTGAAATCATCGTTCAAATAAACCATAAATGTCGTCACTCTGTTTCCTAAGTTCATCCTCCCATCATAGTCCTCATGCCAGGCAAAAAAGCCATTGACGTGATATTTCTGGGCCTTCATACGCTCAACGTAGGTGCTATTGCCGCGCCACCCCTGCAGCTTCTTTGCTCTATAGGCAATACCTTTGGTGATGGCATCTTTACGTGGAATTGTCGCCATTTCTGATATGCGTATGGTTGTGTCCACGAAGGCCTCACCGTTTGGGTATATCTTTGAAGTCTCCCAGTTGCCGTTACTTCGGAAGGGAGGAAAAAGTAATTAGCCTTTAGCAGTACAACGCCTTTCTCGGGGCCTTTACCTGAGTTTGATAACATGATCGATTTCCTCCCCAGACATAAAGTTACTGATGTGCATGATAAAAGGGTCTCTTGAGAATATCTGCACTTGGTAAGCATGGTCCTGTGTAGGCAAGGACATCCAGCTAAGTGGCCGGATAACCATCCCAGATAGATTGGGTGCAAGGAGCCAAGACAAGACAAGACCCAAGAAGATAACCGCAACAAAGCCAAGCCTCGCGATTGTAAAAGACATTCTAAAGGTTTGAAAACGAATACTGAGCAGTGGTTTAAAGAATGTTCTCAACTGATTCCAGAGGATAGTTTGTGTGAGAGAAAAGAAGAAGAAAAGACATTCCTGTATGGTCGAGGGTGTATACAGATAAAGAGGGGAGGCGCAATGACATGGACTGGTATGGAGTAGACCGCGGGGTTAGCTTCCCCTCTTTTCCGGTTCTACAAGGAGTCTTGGAGAGAGGGGTGCCTGGAGGGTGTATGCTGTCTGAATGTCTGGGAGCGAATACGTTTGGGAATCTGTGCGTTACGCTAATTTGGTGTGCCCAATAAATATTTATGCCGCTAGCTTAAAACCGTGTAACTAATTTGGGGGCTGATAAGGGAATTCTGGTTGTGGCCTAGTGTCGAGGTCCTTGTTAGCTGGCAGTGCAATTGGTATTTCTGCATGCCGTAACTTGCCTACTTCACGCCAGTTATGGCACTCTCTTTACTTTTAGCAAAGCCTTAATTTTTAAAACATTTATAACTTATTTAATAAAGCTTTATTTAATTAAAAACTTAATCTTAATTATAATTAAATCTTTAATAGATAAGCTTTTTTACTTAATATTAATAATCTATTTAAGTTTTCTTTATAATTACTACTTACTGCTTAACTTATTATTAAAAATAATAAGCGTTTGTCTTTTTTTATAAATTTACTATGATATGTATTTAGGATACACAACAAGAATACAAGGTGGCTGTTGGTTGTTCTCACTCAAGAGATGGCGGAGTTCCGGCATGCGGGATAGAGGGTAGCTTTAGTCCCCTGCACATTCTCTTGAACAGTATGGTGGCATTCTTACCACCAGCGGCGTATACTTTCCTGAAGTCTCTCCATGCACCGAGCCACCTAGTGAACTTCTTTATCATCCTTTTCCTCATCTGCACTGAAGGGATGAGTCCAGAATCGCCACTAAGTCGACGAGGAAGGATCGCATCCCATTTCGTCAGTCCGTATATTAATTTTCGATCTGAGTGAGATTGTCGTGGCCGTTGAGGAACACCTATACCAATTCAAGAGATTTCATCCATTTGTAGCTCAACAAAAGGAGGATATCAACCATATCGCTCGACCTCATCCCCAAACAACTCTCACGGACAAAATGGAGCGACACCATGTGACCCCCATATCTCTGATCACAGATCTCTGATCGATTCAAAACAGAGACTCTACTATCAGTGCACTAGCCTCAATTCACCAGCTCTGCAAACAATTTTATCGCCAAATAAAAATGTTGTTATTGAATAGGTGGTGAGAAAGTAAGGTGGTGTAGTAGCCAGCAATATCGCTCTGCTACACGTCTTTTCCAAGACGTGAAGCCTTCAACGCCAAAATCATCTTCTGTTTTCTTTTTACTCTGCCGAACATCGTCCATACCTAGAACGAGATCATCTATTTTCTACGCGTGCCTCATTCGTCATCGTCGCCGGTGAGATCAACCAGAGATCTGCCATCTGGCATTTTCGCCTCCTCATATGTCATCTTTGCCTGGACACTTGAGTCCAATTCATGTTTCTTGGGTCCCTCGGGAGCTAAGCTTTGTGAGTATTACTGGTTCAAAACCTTTGGGTCTTGGACTTACAATGAGCGCCGTACTTGTAGACAAACTCACACAAATACCTGAGGATGGTGCCTCCAGGCCTCTTACGGTCGGTGTCGTCAGTATCCTCATTATTGAACCTGCTACCGTTAGACTTTGCATAGCATGGAGTAGATATCGACCCATGTAGTCCCATGAGTTAAGCCCTCGCCGTGTAAGATGGTGGCCTTGTGAGCCAGTTCCATCTCGGGTCGCATGGGAGGTGTTGTTACTTCATATGTAACCGATTTCTCTGACGTGACAGCACAGACTGTAAGACGGATGGTTCCCATAGTCTGCACACGACCCATATCTGCCTCGGTCTTGTCATTGTCACGGTCCTCGACTGAGATCAAGTTAGTATAAGACTTAAAACTATTCAGTCCATGTACAAACCTGAGAGAATGTCTGAGAATACTGGGTATTCTCGCTTTGTAGTGCCATCTTGCGTTTTGACACGTGTAGAGTTCCATTTTTGGGTCTCATGGTTCTGAAGGTCGACTAGAAATCTGTTGTAGAAAGTCCCTTCAATATAGATTTCGATTCCAATGCCTCCAGTCATATCAGGGAGACTACTGGTCTTCATATCGGGACTTAAGGCGAGGGAGACCCCGAATTGGCAGCCCGACTTAGACACTATGTAGCTGTGTCTGGTAGGAAGGGGGGCATCTTCCGATCCTGTAGGACCGGCCTTATGCTTGTCCGATTTGATGTCTCCCTCACTGGCCTCTGTCGTTATGTTTCATTCAAACGGCCATTCCTCAGTGGGCAGGCCATTGACAAGAATCCTGACCTCGATGCCAGGAACGCCGGGGAGAACGGCCATGGAAGGGCGGAATTGCCAAACGTAGAGATAGGTAGAAGGGCAGGACTGTAGTGAATAAGTGAAGTGAATTTGAGGTGATAAGAGATGAGAGAAGAAGAGAAGAAACATGAAATGGTTAGGCCGGCGAGAAAACTCTTCATTGTGATTGTTCTACAGCGCAAGCTTGTGTCACGTATTGCTCATGACTGTTGGTTGAAGTTGCATTGTTATGTGGGGAATCAGAGACACTGCTGCCTCAGTTAGTCAGCCACAACGAACTACAGTGAGATAAGATCATCTTAAGACAAGCTGCTCATTTTATTGAAGGAAACAGCGTTCCCATTACGCCACCAAAGCAATGCTATCGAATACACCAGGGGTCTGAGTAAACTCATCAGAGTTTGTTTGTAACATTACTGCTTTCTTCCTGAGCCGTGAACCTGGAAGGCATGTTCGACTTTGCTCTTTTAACTTCGACCAACGTTCTCACCCAAAGCCCGCTGCCATGTTGTAAGCACGCCCTGCCACGCTTCAGCCTTCCGTGGGGCTTGTAACAATAGCTTGAGTAAGATCTGTACAACGTTTCCCTCACCACATTGCACGTTATACAGTATCTCCGATAAGTGAATTGCTTTCAGCAGAAAATTGAGAAAAACGACCATTAAGGATATATGTGCTGGTCAACCTGATAATAATCGGCGACACCCGTTACAGCCTCAGATCGAAGATCCCGGTTGCCGTTCGAGATCTGATCAATAGCATCATATCCCTTCCAACACATACTTCAGTATCCTCTGCCTTATTGGTTTCTTTTTACTTTGGGCACTAAACATAAATCCCGGTGGTCAGATCCGGGTTATGCGTGGTTAAGCATAATGACTCGGTCCGGGACATTCTTAGCTTGGGGATCAAGATGCCAGACTCAACAGCACAAGAAGACACTATTGTCTTGTTGGATATTCATAACCTCTTAATGCTGCTACATCAGCCTATACAGCCCGATGCTGCTCACGATGCTGAGCACAAACGAGTCCAAGCATGGATTCGTGCTGCGCAACAACTCGAGACCATCACCCACCTTTGTGGTGGTAGAGCTTCTCAATAACCCAGTCTCGTGCGAACAACTGTGCTGAATCAATAACAGGCACTGAAAAAAAGATTTCAACTGACCCCAATGCCGCCGTTGAGTTTTAAGAGCTCTTGATACACGATATGATTCACAAAACAGTCCACACAATTGAGTGCCGTTCATGCTTTCACCACGCTGTTCCCCAGATGGCCAAGATGGGTTCAGCGGCACTTGAATCGGGTCTCGATGAAGCAACTAAGCGCAGCATCAAGTCGTAGAGAATGCACATGATGGTATCGTTGAACATCAAGAGCAACTTGAGGGCCAGCATGTGAACAAAAACAGGTCTGATACCGGGAATAAACCTGCCTTAGATGGTGTTAAATCATTGGCTGGGACAGCCGCCAGGATTCAAAACGTGCTCTTATCTATCGTCTCGAACGGGCCAGGGGCATGTAAAGACTCTGGCATATTTATTCACGGAAGCATGCCCGGCATCTCAATGCATTCGATGTCCCTCACCGCGCTCCGTATCGTCCACAGAGGCGGCCTCCCCATAGCACAGCAATAAATCTGAACAGAGCCCTCTTGTCGAAGAAAGCACGATTCACGACGACAGACACATGGCAGACTGTCGAGATAATCCAGGAGATCGAGTCATAGTAATAATGGAAGTACATACGAGTGTTTATACCATTGTATTCGCTCCCTAATGTGTTAAATAAACACCTTCCGACGTCGCTCTCATATGCAAAGGAGCGAACAAATTGTGACCTTGCACGCTCGAGCACCGACGTGCTACCCCTCAGGTCAACCATCTTTCTTGCTAAAGATTAGAACCCCGGGGACGACTGTCAATCACTGAGATATGCTGCACGCTGAAATGAAGTGACAGGAATCTTCACTTCTGCAAAAGTGCTCCTACTGAATTGGGTGCCCTTGAGGTCTCATAAGCTTACTTCCTAAGCAAGGGCTATTTAAAGCAATGAGAAGATTTAAGGATTAAACTATAAACTAAAAAAGATATCTGTTTGCCGATTTATCCGTTAGGTTAAGGCCTTTAAAGCTAATGGCGCCATAGCTATCTCTGAAAATGGTCGAGTCAGTTTAACAGTGCTCTGCTTGCTCCCCATTTTGAGTTCAGAAGTGGCGTTTCGTATGTCACAAGCAATTATAAACTGTAGTTAGCCTTACGAATATAAATCAGCGAAGCCAGCCTGATACTTTAACACTGAAGCATTCTACTAAAAGCGTCAAGGCTTGCAAGCCATCTAAAATCAAGAATAGTCCCACAGCAGAGCTCCAGCTAAGGCAGGACAAATCCTTTATAAAGTGGACTGAAAGAAATAATGATTTTCCCCTTTTAATACCAAGCATACCACAGGAAGATGCAGGCCACACACATACATGACAGACAGCGATTATTATGACTCTCCACACTGGACTGGACCGGTACCTCCAGTAGCTTTCCTTTGCTCGCCACTGGAAGTCTTATGATAATCAATGGGCGCTGCTCTCGAGGTCACGGACTCAGTGCCGATGCGCCCATGTGTGTCGGTTCGCAGTTGTCTATACAGAGCTGGACCGATATCGCTGGCATTCAACTTTCGCTTCTCAGCACCGTATTACTGTCCCGTATCTCATCAATAACACTTTCCACGTGTTTTACAAAAACTGTCGAAACCACAGGAATGCGACTAGATCGTCTGCTTAATTCCCTCTCATCAGCCCCGCTCTCCCGCTCAACTTAGAGGTTCGAGGAAAGCCATCCTACTCCGATGTCTAGCCTTTCTGCTCGCAGCACTCGTGAGCATTCTCTACAAGGTCTCCTTCGTTACTGTCGATGTAGAAAGCATGCCCGCAATTCCAAAAGGGGATATGTACTACAATTACAACTCTGATGGTTATCCTGATGCTGACACCAGCTATGCTGAAATAGGTGAGTCGGACATGCCCCGAGAGTACAACTATGCTTTGGGAGAAGGGGTACCGTCCACCATACTCTCGGCAAACCTCATTGACTTCATTACTGTCAACAATGGGTCCGTGATTATCGTGAGCGACCCAGGCATGGCCTTTGAGCGTAGGCAAACCACCGATCTAATCATAGGTCCCAAGGTGAATGCAACAAGACTCACAAGAGTTATCAATGGCACGGTGCAATCACGCAAACCCTTAATATACCTTCGGAGCTCGTTCTATATCCTGCGCGCAATTGGCGACTTTGATGCTATCAAGTGGCCTCTTGTTAAGTCAACGCCATACAACAACGGGGTACGCATCGACTATGCCCCTTTGAACTCAACCAACTTTGATGGGGGCATCATGGACATTACCTCCTTGACCAATGGATCAATGCAGGCTTGGGTCTCCGGGCATCCACTTGCTTCCCAGCGACAAGCGGGCAAAAAGGGCATCTACCACTACAGAGTTACCGTTGATATGCGATACTGTTATGGTTATATCAGCTGGTCAGACTCGGTTACTTATGGCCATTTTCAAATAGAGGAGCCAACGAATATTCAATGCCAGGTTTTCCCTTTTAATGTGGCTACCTGGAACAAGACACAATGGGCATTCAACGCAAAAACGTTTATCCAGGCAGCCCTTGCTGGAAAGACCACTGATGACAGTTTCTGGACGACTGCGATGCCCTTAATTCCAATCGTTAGTGATCACTCATCTATCCACAGAGTGTTTGGTCCGCCGACAGAGCGGAAACCACGGTGTAGCACAATCCCTTCAGACTCATTTGCAATTGCTGAGGGTGTAATAAGGGCATCGAGGACGGGCATGACGGCTTTGGGAATGGCACTCCAGGGGCTGGTAATCGTGACGGCCATCATGGCCCTATGCTTGATTGTCTGGCCGAGACTGCCACTACTTACAGAGTGGCCTGTACAGTGGCTTGCTTTGGCAGAAGGTTTAGATCATGCTGCAGTAAAGGAAGCAGTGAAAGGAGGGATCACAGCATCTAGTGTTGAGTCCAGCGCTGTCGTGTTTCTGTCATTATCCCATGGAGGGAGCAACGAGGTGCGTCTAACAGGTGTCAGGTGATAGTCCTCTTGGCGCGTTGACTCGGTCAACGAGACTGTGTCGGGATAAGGCATGGTATGGTCTTCATGAGCCTTTCAGTATGCCTGGATCTTCATTTGGTAACCAACTATCTCTTCGAATGACTTCAGGTACAATCCTCAGCGTGGAATTCGCGTAACCAAGTATACCGAAACTAATAAATACAGCCAACGATACCAAGATCAAGCAAGGTTCAACTGATAGGATGGTTCATAAGATATCAGGGAGAGATCGAGTAGTTCATAGCATCATGCCTGGCGAGCCCCAAGGAAGTCTGGGTCTATGCCCATAACTGCGCCCCTACAAGATGTTCCATAGTGAGGCGATATAGGGTGCTCTATGCTATATGCCAATTGAGGTGGATAGAAAGTAAGCTCAACAGACTCGGAAATGGGCGTGCTGAATGATTCGAGTTGATACCTGAAATTGGATGGGTAGCCGGGATTCAGTCATCAAACTCCAACTGGAAGGCGTTGGCTTGACATCCGAATTCGGACCTTTCGATATCAGATTTGTGAACTCTAGTGCGTTGCACCTGATATGCATGATCTGAATCACCAAGCTCAATATGCCCAAAGGTTTGCCTTCAACGCTGTGGTACGGTGATCCCAGGTACGGTCTTGTTCAGAAACACCGAAGTCAGCGTTTGAATCATGGGTGGGAAGTTGGACGTGGAACAGTTATGAGGATGGCATAGAGAAGTCTCGGTACCGAGCTGGCATGACAGTCGATGAGATACAGTGATCACATGGTCCTTCTACAGAATTCTTGAGTCAAGAAGTCCAACTTCGAGTCATCATTTTTCATCCTTAGGCCCATCGAAAGGCGGGTAGCGATGGCTATTAGGGCGGAAGAGCTGGCGTACCGGCGCCGATACACTCTATGATTGATGGAGATAAGGGCTTGAACGTGGGGAACTGTGGGATTCTCAAACCCTGAAGGACAATAGTTTCTGCTCTGGAAATCAGTTCGTTTCCGCAACCAAAAGTCCCCGGGCCGAGGTCGCGGTAGACAGAGACAGAGACGACGACAATGATAGAAATTAAAACAACTTTGTTTATATATTTTTTTGGTATTGATCCATGACTAGAGCACCATGTAGGAATGAGAAAATGAGTATGTGGCGTATGCGTGCGAAGAATTGATGGCGACCTGCTCTGAAGGTATATAATGACTTGTCGCTTGCCCGGGATCAGAAATAGAGGTTTCTTAAATCAGCTTGTTAGGAATATCGGCTCGAGTCTCCGATTTCCGATCCTTGCGTGAGGGAGGCTCGGTACTCATTGCATATGGCCTTCTTGAGATGGTTGAGCCTGAACAGCAATACTAGGCTCTCTCGGAAATCCAAGCCTGACTCGTGCACTCTGACAGCCCAATGGCATGGCAGGTGTGGTCAATCGCGACAGTGGCCAGTGGAAGGCTTATCTTGGCAGAGGTTATACACAAACGATTACTAGCCTGCTGCGCCGACATGGAACAAAATGAAATGAAACTAAAGATGAACTTAACTCGGGACCCAAGCGCTGGATAAGGCTTGTTGAGTAGATATAAGACGGAAAATGATACGGAAAATCTATGTGTATGTTAGTCTTCGACGGGTGGTCCATTCAACTGGTAGCTTAAACAAGCACCGCTTAGTATATAACAGTGTTGAGCACCGAGGCGGACCAGTAAGTCATGTCTAGAACGGTCAACGCTGGAAATGCACTGAGAGTATGCGCCGTGGGAGCCCATCCCAAAACATAACCTAAAAGACCACCATCAGGGACACAATCCCAGCTTTGATCTGAACGGAAGCGTCGTTAACTGTGCACATGCCGCCCATGCTCATCAGAGCGGATGCGTGAATTGAAACACATGCAAGAACTTGGAATCTGTAGTCCAGTCAGCGTTATAATTTTCGATGAAGGCATTGGAATAAAAAAACCCACCTTCAGTCCAACCTATCCGTTAAAATCATAGCCAGCAGCGACGTGCAACTGTTGACGACTGCACCAACCATCATAACAGTAAATCGGTTGGTGATAACAAGTGACTTGACAAGAAGGGCGCCATAGATAGACATAAATACGTGCCAAGTGGATTGTAATAAGAAATTGGCCCCTACCGTAACCTAGGTATGCTTGCGATGCTGCGACTTGAAGATGTTGAGGAATGAGCCGGTCTTTGTCCGGTATTCTTTCTCGACGGCCATCAAAATACTCTTGCCTATCGGTAGTTTGTCCTTGGACTTTATACAGATTTAGGAATCAGAGCCATTCGAACAGTCGCGTATCGCTACTAGTATTATGGCGTCCTTCGGCGTATTACTGTGTCAGTGTCAAGTTGAGCATCCTTAGCTGCCGTCAACGCAATGAGACACGGCAGTCGGAGCACTGACAAAGCTATTACCGAATGGGGAATGGCATCGGAAATGAAATGCTGGCTGCGTGGGGGCCGCAGCATTCGGAGGACCGAGGAAGCTATTGTAGGAGGGGCATTCCCTTATTGGATAAACAGCCAAATCCATACACTAGGCGACAAAAGAAGGCTATCTCAATCGCAAATTAACTTGTACGCTCAACCAGTTTCGCCCCTCGATCAAAATCTGCTCGTCTTACTAGCTGCTTCGTTCGCCCCAGCATAACCTGCAGTCAGCGCATGTCGCCAGGGAAAAACAGCCTGCTTCTTATTGCTGATGATCTCGGCCGTGAGCGGGTGGGATATTATGGTGGTGAGAGTTGCGTCACAACCATCGTAAATGGCCTCGCGGCATCGGGGGCCAGGTTCGACATGGCATGCACTAGCACAGCGTCGTCGTGCAGTGGAAGCAGGACTGTCATCTACACTGGCCTACATATCCACGAGACGGGCAGCAACGGCTCCAGAACCTTTGACAATGTCGAGACTGCACCGTTGCTCTTCGAAAAGATCGGCTATAAAACTGGTATTCTGGTCAAAGTCCATGTCAGCCCGGACAACTCATTTTCTTCTTCTTTGATCAACGTCGAAAGAATGTCGTATTCCAATTTCTTACTGCTAATTTTAAGGCGCTGTATATAATCAGCATCTCTTTGAAAGGTTTACGCATTCAACGAGTAGTGAATGGCTAGAACAGCTAGCTTCGGAATTGCCACATATAACATCTCAAGTCGTGCAACGGGAAATTCAAGAAAGCACAATGGTATACGATGAACACCAGTATACGTAAGTCTAATAATGCCCAAGTTCAAGAAATGTAAGCAGTGGAGGGATATGCGGCGAGGTTGTCCTTGGAGACTCCTTGGCCGCAGTTCTATGGCGAATATTGTCAATCGCGAGAGAGGGAAAGGCAATTGGGCACCATCAGGACATGTATGGACTACCCAAGATATCACATAGCTCCATCATCCTTGGAGGTACCCTCCGGCTCTCATGCTTTCCTTCAGTTCCTCCAATCTTTCAGGCCGTGTCCGGCAGGCTACCACTCGCCCAAGCCCTTCCAGTATCATCGACAACACCCAGTCACCACACAAGCATGGCTTGGTTCTCCTTATCGTATTTTTAGTTGTCATCCCATATCACGTCCTGTGCGCCTCCCTGTCGATGGCATCAATCTGCCCCTGAGACCGATGACGACGTTTATGATAGTGCTCACCCGTCTCCGTCTTAATTTACTTGTTCGAAAACGTAAACCGATTGTGACAGACTGTTAAAGTTGAAGAGATATACTCTTACATTATATGAGCGGTTCAGAAAACAATCAATAGGCATAAGATGCAGCACCAAGGACAAGTAGGCAGCAAATGATTGCGCTCACGAGAATGGTAGTAGTAGTTAGTTCTGGCAGCCCTAGTGCATCCCACTTCTCCTGCTGAACACGCTCCTGTATCTTCAAGATCTCGTGAAAGGTGAGTTCAGAGGGCAAGTCTTCAGCTGGGCAGCCAAGAAATGAGGCAAGAATCTCATGCCCGACGGAGCTCTCGGCGACTGTTTGTGTGTCTCCATTGCGGTTTCGGTTCTCCTTTTCAAAATTAGCTGATTCTCAAGTGAACAATACGATGGTAGTGGCTATACGCGCTCCATAACATCTTCAATCTCTTGGGCTAGGGATTTCTTTCCGATATTTCGAATTGCACCTTCACCATCAGAAGACACGGTTGATATAACAGACTCAGTGGGGGACTGAGGTGCCTGTTCGTTCTCGCCCTCAGCGGCGCTGGAAGGAGCCATTGCAGGATGTATGGCGTTAGTGCCACAAGAGGATGATCTCTCTGTTGCAGGTAATACGAGATGGTGTAAGTATGTGCGACTGTAGATGTGATGGTAAAGTCAGAAAGCTGAGAGAAGATCAGCCTGAAAGGTGTCTGCTGAGGTGTAGAAGAAAGAGTTAAGGAGAGTTGCTCGAAAGGGGGAGGGGTAGGGATCCAAGGCTGCACATCTGCCTGACGATACGTGTCATTTTACCGATTGTTTGTTCGCCGCAAATTCACGGAGCTACGCATCACCTAGAAGTTACCCAAGCTGCAGGTTGACAAAGGTTCCAATACGTGAATATGATACGTCAGTTGTTGACCGGAAATGACTCCATTACTTTTTCGATAAGCACCAGCCAAATTCACTCCATGGTTCTGAAATGACTGTTCCTTTTTACATACCTGGACTTTCGTGGTGACGTCAGCGCGCAAGTTCGTTCCTTCAAATCACCAGACGATAGAAGCACGGTTGCGCCATTAGCGAGGTTATAGCTGTTTTAAGAACAGAAACATCATCAAAGAGATTGGAAAGGTCTGAAGACAGTATTTCGATAAATGGTCCCATGCCCCAAAACGCGACTTATGAAATACAGTTTTATGCTTCTCATAGTTCAGCTGATTGTGCGTTTAACAGACTGAGTATTGGGTTTCTCCTAAGCACTTTGACGTAGGTTCGCTTCGCCCCTGCAAATAGGCCACTAGTTTACCTAGCTCCAAGGCTTGGCAAGGCTCAGAACATTCAATCGTCGCTTTTATTTCATTTTATTAAATCACTTAGACGCAGCAAACCTTAGAGAGCCTTGCAGGACCTTTTAGTCACGCCGTAGCGCCATCGGAGTGGGCCTTGGGCAATTGTGTTGGGTAGCTGGTATACTGCACGGACTGACTTTGATGAGAGTGTGATCTTGAGTTGATAGACCCTACAGCTGATGGCTCACATCACGCGCCTCACACGCCATCGGAGTGGGCAATCTCCAGCCCCTGCATGGCTTTGCAACTCTCTACACCGTCTCACCTTGTTGCGGTTGAACTCAACCCCGGGAACGGAAGGCTGGGCTTCAGTCACAACCCAAATGATTCACATGGCTGCACTCCGTGGAGCCTCGCCTGATATTCCGACGTCCAAGACAGCTACGGTCTCCATGTGAAAAGGACCTATTATTCCCTATCTGGTTTTACAAGCCGTTCACTCCATGTTAATCGCCAGCGGCTAGAAAAGCTGTGCAATAAGTCACTTCAAATAAAATTTTGTATGGGTGAGACAGCTCAGGACTACGGTAGCACAACACATCGACCCATAAGGCTTAGGACTCCAACTTGTATGGCCTGTGAGAGCGTGAGAGATGCTCCACGCTGCTCACGGGACGATCCGAGCGTTTTTGAGTAGCCACATGTCATTTTACGATTATTGTTAAGATGCATAGCTCGTATTCTTGCCAGGAGGCAATATTTGTGTTCTGGAACCTGGAGCCATAAGCTTACTGCTGAGAACAACAGCCCCTCATTCTTATCAACAGCAGGTATGGCGCTAATTACGTCCACCATGGCGTACATGCGAAGAAAGCCGTCGGGATATATTACCGAGGCGGAGGCCTCCGGCCAGGCTCATGATGCGTTGCTGGGAATATGTCTGGAGAGGCAAAAAGGTTCTTAGTTGAGATTGGATCAGAGAGTCAACTTGCGATATTAACAAGAGGCCTCGGGCCGCCACAGCTACATCCATGGGCTGGTTTTGCACGGCAAAGTGGACAAGTCTGAAGGTTGATCAAATTGATTCGATTACGGTACTAATTGACCCCGCAAGGCCAAATATGGGACCAGGAGTATAAGTTGCCAGGATGAACCAAAGTATAAACTACACTAGACTAGAGCAAACTACCTTAAACAACAGTCTCCACTACGGTAGGTTGTAGTATAAACTACAGTAAACTACAGCCAAGATGCATGGAGAGATCTTGCGAATCCAATCATTGGCAACGGTAACAATGACCGTCTTCAATTACGACTGGTGAGTCGTAGCGTGAACATACAGCTTCAAGCAATGTATCCATGACTCCCATACCTCCATTTTTCTACCAAACTGACTCACAGCAGGTGATTTTCCCAAGAGCCCTTTGCCGCTTATGCCTGAAGAAATACTGCCATTGGGTTGGGGGGCTCACACCCTGTATGCTTGGGAAGGGCTATTCTTAGCTACCTGCGCTACCTTCGCCAAGCACCCCGTACTGACACAAGCTCTCAGCCACATGGCTCAACTGCGAATAAATCTCAGCCTCACGGGAAAAAACCACGACAACCTTGGATCGATACGTTGCATCTACCCTGGTTCCAGCGGCCTTATGTGCGGTCATCGGACATCGTTTCCCCCCTAGTCGCATGGTTGTTCTTTGTTGATATCGCCATGTTCCTGCAACGCAAGCTCAATGTGGAGTCGACATTTGACGTTCTACCGGGTATTGCGAATGAATAAATTGTAGCTTCTTCTGCAGTGACTGAGTTCACCTGGGCTGTAAGATTCTTTGTGTTGTTACGGTCGCCCTTCAGTTCGCAATTCCGGCTTGAAGGAGCAACAGAATGAGCCAAGAAGGAACAATATTGTTGAGATTATGTCTGATATCCTGGAATAGAGAAGAACACCTTTGGTCCACTAACATAAAACCCTCTATAGATTGCTTTTGGTGGTAAGAGCACAACCATCTTGATGACATGGGAGAAGCAGAAACGACTAATGCACAGTCCGAATTTTCCTAATTGTTGTCAAAACAGTGCGGGCGAATGAACTTACAGAAAGAACATAGAGAATATGAGCGGATAGAGAAGTCGCGCAGTTGCAGTCCCTGCATTGCCCATGTTATTGATCGCTGTCGTGAGTCTAATGACTGTGACTTCCACTTCAATACATGCATGTAAGAAGTTCCATACCATCACCCACTTATGCCTGTTCTCACTATATTTCAATGTCACTGGAGCAAGAACCGAATGGGCAGTAAGAGGCTTGCGCTGAATTTTGGCCTTAGATGGAGAAATGGCTTGGCGTGTTTCCCGAATGGAGTGATCCGTTGCCGAGAGTAGAGCTTTACGATAATGCACTGTCAGACTTGGAAACCATGACTCTCTGTATAAGGTAATAATGGACCTACCGGGCTGGTGAAGTTATGCTCGTCATAGGTCGATTCTAGCTAGTTGAAACTACTCCAGCTCAGTTCAGACTACGCCAACTCAGTTTCAACATCAGTCTTAACATGTTGCGATATGGATATCCTATTCATAGTTATGGCGTGGTAGAAGGTGTATCTTAGACTAAGAGGACTTAAGTGAACTACAATATGATAGGTTTTAACCAACTCTCTAGGATTGTCGAGGGTAGGTTGCGACAACACGAGCCATTCTCTTCCGCCAGTTTAGTCACTTAGTGTGCCATATAATAGATCTTTAGCCCAATTCAATAAGTCCTGCTGTCTCTCTATCTCCTGTGTCACGTTCTGTTTGCTAGAAGTCTTTATTCTATATCCGTAGTGTCATGCATAAACAGTACAGCCATGTTCTTTTGCTTTAACGTATGTAAGTTGTAGCAAGCATCAGGGCGGCTGCAACGTGACTACGATTGTTTCTTTAATACATGTTTTCCATTTCTGCCTCTTTGCCATTTTCGTTTGTCATGTCTTCCTTCGTTATCAATGGCGTTGCCATGGAACGGAGTGCCCTTTGTTCGCCCACAGCAAACTGTTCCACGTCACCACCATGACGTTTGTGTTAATACTCAATCACCTCGCACGTTAGCAAACAGCCCGTTACATGACCCAATATGCTGGCACTATTTAAACCATTCCTCCGCTTTCAATAGTCTTGAATCTTTCTTCTGATCATCCCTCCATCAATCATTTGGATCGGTAATCTCGACACACAACCACTAGCCACTTCAACCACGTAGTTGCGGCGTAGCAGGCAAATGGAAGGTAGCGTGATAAATCAGAAGGCCAGATTATTTGACTTATACCTCTGGAATGTGGCCGTGCTGGAACTCTAGATAACAGATAGGAAAGGCATTCCGTGGTGAGAGCATTGTGAGCTTGTGTTGGGGTCGGTAGAAATTGTAGAATGATTGGATACTGGCATTGGGTCTCCTTGAATTCAGACCAAAAGAATTCCACAACTAAGTGATGAACTAATCGATATTCGCCTCCGGCCCTCTTCACAAGACAGGCGCACGCCATGATGATAACCTTGTGGAAGTGATCTTTTTGTGCTTCGTCAGATGATGGGTCGCTGCGTGTACCAGGAGGGTCAGACAAATCTTTGATGCAACTTGTGACCTCCATAACTGGTTTTCCGAAAGACATCGAATACGAAATGAGAGCCAGTAGAAAATGTGTCTTACAATAATATGGCCATTTTCGTGTTTCGTGGCGATGAATTCAAGGATGCGTATATACATCCGTCATCCCCCCTTGTCTTAAAATACGCTGTGGCTTCAGAAAAAGATCTAGGTTTAGTTCTTTGCATCCTTATTGAAGCTGAGTATCGATTAGAAGGCAAAGATCTAGATTGGTGGGTATTATGTCTTGTTATCAAATAATGGATTAGAAGAGCTATTGGGGATACTGCCTTGATACCTCAAGGAAAGCTGCACTTAGGTAGGGAAGTTATGTTTTGCAGAGTATATTGGAAGATGTCAAGAGCAGGGTTAATGATACTACGGTTTGCTTTAGGGATGGGCCTCGGTGGAACATTTGATATCGTGGTTCGTCTCTTTACCCCTATCACACTTCACATCCTAGAGCATATCGCATCTAAGACATATTGTAACCCTCGATTACATTCCTACTTCAGCAGACTTATAACTATTTCATGGAACTTGACAGAGATGTCCCGGATACGCCCAATGGGAAGATTCACGCACAGCCTGCGCCGAGTGACCGGAAGCCGTCCACACACTTAGTAGCATCGTCGTGTTTTATCAAGATCTCCAGTGCATGTAAGACCCTTACAGCAAGCATATTTGCCGTTGTCACAGATTTCTCCTTTGGTTCGGCAAGCTCGGTCCTTCTTACATTCCCGAGCGCCTGAATTGAGGTTTTTGGGGTCCACCCAGGTGCAAACCCCACTGCAGCAGTCCGAGTCAACCTGGCAACCTTTGCCGAGAGCACGGCATTCTTCTACCTTACATATTTTATAAGGCTTGTCATCCACGGCGCGGCAATAGTAAATACCGCAGCAATCCAAAGTCGTGCTGCACCTTTTCCCAAAATCGTCGCATTCATCACCACCCTAGAAACATGTTAGTGGCGTGAGTAGTTGAAAGGTATATTCAGGCTACAAACAACAATCCCACCGCCAAAGAATTGTGCGTGGACAATGGTGAAGAGCATTGCAGAGGTGCCGAGAATTTGAAACTTCATCTTGACGGATTGAAGGTTTTGTAGATCACTGATAGAAGATCTGTTGTTGTTATCTGTGGTGATGTAATGTTCAAGTTGTTGATTTTATAGATCGATATTCGGGGTGATGGGAGAGGGCTTTTATACCTCTTGTCTGCGTTGCTGGATACTTGGATCAGTAAAACAAACTCTTTGGTCAGGACTGGTACATTAATTGACTAACAGGATAGAAGGAATTCTAAGGGGTGCCTTTTGTCTAGGTCCCTGGACCCCTAGAATACCAGAGAGGGATAAGTAGAAGAGCAATCGACTTTAAGACTCCTCCCGTTATTCAATAATACGCCACTCTATATTTCAAGATTGAAAATTACAGTAAATGAAGAGACCAGCCTATAACTAAACTAACTTAGCTCCTGGGGGGACTGAAACACGGCAGAGAGAAAGGGTGGGTAAAGGATCTAGGGTACAGGAAAGAAAATAAGGGCTAGCTGAGACACGGTAAGGAAAAACGGGCCGATAAAATGAACATTGAAATACATAGCTCTATTTCTGATGTAAGTTATGTAAAGTAGTCTAGAAAGCATGTAGTTTAATAATAACCTTAGCCATTTTCTCAACAAACGCCAGGTCTCTAGTTCTTACTAATCTTTCCTTCAGGTTACCAATTATCACGGAAATGACCGGAATGAGAGAATCCATAAGGAGCAAGGCAAGACTCGTTATATGATTAAGGTTTATTGGATCATCCAGCTAGAATGATTTGAAATAGTGCTAGAAGACATTTAGGAAGAACAGAGCGCGTTTCTCTCGAGTAAATACACTTCCTACGCTTTGGAGCCTAGAGCCGACACCAGGCTATTCGATGGCGAATATGCGTTGGATGGCCTTCCGCTCATGTTACTAACATGAAAAGAGTCCATTGATCCATCTCTTCCGTATTTACCATACTTCTAAAGTCGATGTAGCCATTGACGATGTTCTCGTTGTCGTGGGAGAATAGCGCAGTGGATCAGACGCGCTCATTGGCCTAGCCTTCTGTATGCCACGAGCCGCCTGAATAGCTCGGGTTCTCTAGGACGAGATGGATTTGGACAAACTTGACGATGACCTGAAGCCTTTTAGGCCCGGTCTCCGGAAGATTATCGTGGAGGAATCACATCGACTTGACATCCTCGGCATAGAGCTTTTGTTCACGATCAAGGCTAGGCTCCCGCGCGACAACGCGATCGGTCTGTAGAGCCACAGTAAGTCGTAATGTTGGACTTCATTCTCGGATATGTGTTTTGGATCACGCTCCTGCTCTTTGTCATCCTCATCTTCTGGTTCGCTATGTGGTATATGTCTGTCTTCGCTGCTGTCATCGTCTTCTCTATCATGTTAGCTGTCCGATTGATCCGTCTTTGGAAAATACCGCGGAGAAGCGTTAACAGTCCTGTTTGGTTTGCGCCATTGGTGAGGTTTTTTCGACGGTGCGTTACCATCCGAATCTAACACCTTCGAGTCTAATATCACCAAGTCACTGTATTTGTTGTCCTACCGACCTCTGTGAGGTTCGTCATACCGAGGTGGTCGAGTCAGAGCCGTAGTAGTGTGGCCAGGGGTGTTCGCGCAAGTTTGTCGACTTCTGTATCTCCCCCCAGTCTCTTGGATCCTCAGACGCTGTACAGGGAATTCTTTCAGCCAGCGATAGACGATGTTCCATGAAAACAAAGCCTCATCGATAAGCTTCTGAATGATTGGGTATAAGGTGGAATGCTCCACGGGTTGTAAGTTATTGATGTAGCTTTTCATCTCAAGACGACCGCCATCAGCCGAGAAGTCGCACGGAAACCGATGGGAATTTGTTGAAGTGCAGTGGTAGAGCTCGACACTGATGGACTTATCGCCTGGCTTCTTTATAGCAAAGCCTTGACTGCGATTTCTCAAAGACTTTACAAGTCATATCCATCCGTAAATTAGGACACGAGACTTACCGGACCAGCGGATATATGGGTGGGTGGGCATGGTTCTGAACGAGTTTCAGAGCCTTTCTATCGCTGCCGGGGTGCTAATCTTTGCCACAAGCAGGGATATCTTCTAAAGTATTGCCACCTTGTTTGAGCCCTTGCTACACGTCGTCGGGGATTAAGTAATCAGACTTGAAGATAGTGGCAGTGCATTTGTAGACGGGAGCAAGGTTCGTCTTCTGGTAAATTGTTGACTCGGACTTCATCTCTTCGATGCACTAGAGATGAGTGGTGTTAGCGTCGCTAATAGTCAGACGATTCACATACGACCTCCGTCAACCGTAGCTGTAGTGACATAGCTATATCTGAGGTATCGGCCACAATGGGATTCTATGCCTCAGCTTTCCATCAACTCGCGATCCTTTCAATATACACATTGATGCACCAATCTGGCTTGCAGGGAATTGAAGCATATCGAACTCGCAATTGATAATAGTATTGACTTTAAACTAAGTTACCGAGAAGGGATGGGAAGATAATTATTATCCCCGGGTTCATAATTGATAGGAAGGTCGACGCCAGAGAGTTTAGTACTTTCCATGACTTTCAAGGTTTACTAAAAAAAAATGCTCGAACCAAATTTTTCTTCAAAAACTACTATAATACTTTATACTGTACAATATGGATTCAATTTGACTACAAACGCAATACTTTCCAATTTCGCTTTAAAAATTACAAGATCGATCTATAAAACTAAAAGAAAAGTTTCAGCCTAGCTGTCTAGCAGCTTCATCTTAAAAACAAGGTGCTTTCTAGTAATATCTTCTATAATAGGGTTAAGGGGTTAAAAAGAGGCTTTAGCCTTAAGGCTATAAAGGTAAAGAATATTAAAAAAATATATATAGGTAAAATACTTATTACTTTTATTATTATTTAAAATCTTACTTTTAGTTAAAAAGTTAAATATTTTAATAATTAACTCTAAAAGTATATAAATAAATAGCTATTTATTATTTATTTATAAAAATAATTAAGTTTAAAGTATATAAAATAACTAAAAGTAAATTACTTAATATAAATAAGTTTATTAATTTAAAATAATACTTTTAAAATAATTTTTATTATATAATAATTAATTAATAACTAATTATTAATAAATATAAAGATTATAACTTTAATTTTAGCTATCTTTTTATTTATTAATAATAAAATATATAAAATATTAAGTAAAATAAAGTATTTTTAAAGCCTTAATATAGCTATTAAAAAAATAGCTTTAATAATAAAGTCCTTTTAAAGGTTATTAAATTTAATTACTATAACTATATTATAATAAGCCTTTTTTATTATATTAAAAAGAAATATTATAAAATAATTAAGAAATTATTAAATAATAAAGTTAAAAAGGTAAGATTAATAAAAAAGAATTTAACTTAAGTATATATAGTATTAAACTTATAGAAGATAATAAATATTAAAATTCTATAGCTATAGGTATAAGGAAAAGTTAAATAGGCTAGTAACATTTAGTAAAAAAGTTTATTTATTAAAGATTTAATTATAATTAAAATTAAGTTTTTAGTTAAATAAAGCTTTTATATTAAATAAGTTATAAAGGTTTTAAACATAAAGCAGCAATATCTTTATTATACAGCATTACCCCGCATTTCACTATAGTCATTTTAGTCTATAGAGATTCTATAACGGCAGCGAGTCAACTGAATCAACACCGGCTCTTCGGCATTCCGTGACTCACTTGGTACGCCCTGCGCATGAATAGAATCGGCTGGAAGCTCAGCCACAGTCGAATCTGGGAAGTAAGAAATCGGCGAAAGTACAATGGCATCCGCATAAATAGCTTCAGGCTGGGCGCTCGTGTCTGCCAGTTCGCAAATATAACCATCGCGATATGGATACTCTCGAGACCCTTCCCGAAGTCCACTAGCGTTAGAGGCCTCGGTGTCAACGGCTGCAGGTTGATGACTGGCCACTTCTTTTTGCTGAATTGCCTCAAGAACATCGTTAGACAAAGATACCTCGTAGAACTCAGACAACGTGTCCCGAAGCCACAAGCGGACTTTTTTAATGTCCCATTCCTTCAGGGGACCAGAGCACTGTTGTCTGGAATCACCCAAATATCCGAGCTGGTGAATGAACTCAAGATCGACACTGAAGCATTGCATCCAAAGGAGGATGTTTCCGTAAAGATCCTTATCCTGGACCTGTATCAGTCTGAGAACGTAAGAGAATTGGCGAGCAAGATGGCCAAGCTCATGGCGTGTCTTGCTTGGCGGCTGCGTTTGATCTGTGCCAGCATCATATTCGTTATCCGGCAAATACTCACAAGCATCAAAGAAGGGTGGTTCGAGATCCAGGCGGTCCGTTAACTCGCTGAGACAATTGTCAGTTAGACCGAGAGCCTGGTCGAGCTGCGATTTGAAATAGTTACCTAGCTGCGCTAAGTGAGATGCTATCCTGTTAGACATGATCGTTTGTTGAACAGGGGGCTCGAAGTAGCTGAGTAGATTTAATCAAAGGCAGGAATGCTGCGAATTCGCAGGGATAGTATTTCTCTGCCAGGACAGTCTTTCACAACGATACAAAAGTCTGTATTATATAGACCTGCGAACATGGATTTGAAGCAGCTATCTGTTTCATTGATTCGGTGTTGTTCCAAGGCGATACGAAAAGCATGCGCGAACATAATAATCTGGACGGTACGCATAGACCGCACGTTCTACTGAACAGTATATCTACTCTATAAAACAAAGAAAGTAACAATTAATGGCAAAAGTAAAAGTAAGCATATTTTATAATAAATGCAACAATATAAGGCACTAAAAGATTTACCGGAGACAACACATGGCTGAGAGCAAGAACAGTTAAATCTCCAGTATTACCCTGAACATCTAAGGGCCATGAAGCGCGAAAGGGTAAGTGATAAGCAACTGACATCTGTATTGACCTTAATGAGCGATGCACGCCTTTTAGCTAAAACTATCTAGCTAGTAGCCATTAATAACCCTCATCTCATTTTTAACGCTCTTAATGACTCAGAGAGTTCTGTGAACACCACATACATTCCTTTTTCCCTGACTCAATTATATACGACTATATCTCAAACCTTCACACCGTCCATTGACTCACTGCCCCGAGTTCCTCAAGGCTCATTATATGATCCTTCTAGTCAGTTCTTAGCACCACCCATAGTAACTATGTAATTATCAATTCTCATAAAGTCCACTGTTGCTTATCCGTCTTTTTATCACAATCGTCCACAGCCTGCTTCAGATCCTCCTTCAATTACTTCCTCTTCCTCCACTGACTTTCTTTCGACGTTAACTCCTGCTTTTACTCATATTTCTGTCTTAAACGGGGGTTCTAATTAAGAGATAAAACATCACTCTTGAATTTATGGAACGCGCGGTTGAGGTCGTACTTCCTTTGTTTCTGTTTGTCGATAAGGACTTTGGGTATCTCCTGTGCGGTTTTGCCAGTAGCGAGGGTTGCCTGCGGCTTGGCGGTTGCACGTCTTTGTCGTTAATTGAGGTCGGCGGTGCTCTCTTTGGCAGGTTTGGCATGGATAGTATGTAGGTGCAGAGCGACTAGAGTTTACCTGTCATGAGTATTGACCCGGGTACATCTACTTCTAGTATGAGTTGTTTCCAGACATTCTGATCAATAGGAGTGGCCTTTGTAACATCAGAGGAACCCTAAAGATCCTGAGAAATGCAGGACCCGGCCTGTAAACCAAAGCCCGAGTTACCGGGTTGGCAAGGGCAATCCTAAGTCCAAATTGTTAGTCTGCAGGGAATAGAAAAAGGCAGTAGACTCGCTTATTTGACAACAAAGGTAGACTTGACTCCACCGAAACTCTGGCCTTTTTTTTTGAATCGTTTTCTGATGTACTCCTATTATTCAGCGCTGTGTTTATGACCATGAAGGATGAACTCCAGACTCAGATCTACTTTTGTCGTTAAACAGAAAGACCAGTTGAAATTGAGATCTTGATAATTGATAGCAATAACGTTAGTCTGCTAGTCTTTCGAAGAGGGCAGCTCCCAGAACGCACTATCATCGTCGTTAGAGAAGTAGGCTATTATCACTACAGAGGGATGGTACGCGGCGAGGACGCGGGTCAAGCAAATGAACGGTTCCTAATAAATAGAAGCCAATTTTACAGGAATCATGTCGGCAGCATCATATTCCGCTGTGCGTGGACGCTTCATAAGCATTTACGAGGACTCTAATCCAATATGTCGCTCCTTACTAGGTTGCGGTTAATGTCGGTGGTCAAGGTTCATGGCTGTCAGGCAAGCAGAGAAGGTGTCTAGAGATGATCGCGATGTTGATCTCTCTCATACGGAATCGCAAGGTATCTATTGGGTGGGCGGTATTGCTATTAGGGTGATGTCAACACAGCGTTGTGCTGTAGGAAGACAGATGCCTCGCTGTTCGGCGCGGCGACTGATGAAGCTATGTAAAGTTTATTCGTGGCAGTATAAGTCTCTTTGATACATACTGTGAAGCTACGATCTATTAAGGACAAGGTCAATATATCCCTTCTTGAAACACTGAGAGAGAGACCTAGGATTTCGAGATTATCAAACACTAAGTTCATCAATGGAGACCAGTATTCATCAGATGTCATGGCTGGATCTTCCTGGGCATGCGTCTTACCGTCTGTCTCTATCTGTAGCTAGTATTCTTCAATTATGCATAGAAAATAAAATGCAAATATTACATAGTGCTCTGTCTCTTTATCCAACTAGATGTGATACTCTCGCCCTGAAGCCTGGAATAGACCCAGTCCTGTTGCAAGTAACTTTACGACAACCAATCTCAACCACGGCAGTACCTTCAAATCGTCTCTACCCCGAACTTTACCAACCCTCTTTTAATTGCCAAGCCGATCTCAGACATTTCCCACCCATGAAGCGCTTTTAGTTCCCAGTTTTGGTCTTCTTCTCAAGCTTGCTTGTCGCCTCATCATACCAAATATTTGCTTCATGATGTTCTTAATGCAAGCCATGTCATCCATAATCAATCGCCGCGACTCATGGAGTCCTCCAAGGTCATTTTCAATCTTGTTGATCTCGTCGGCTGAGATACCAGACACCGTGTTGCTGATCCGTTCGTGGAAGAGAGTTGCGCTTTCAAGCCGATAATTGGCTTCTTTGTTCGAATCACCACCACTTTCGAGAGTCAAGGCGACCTCAATATCTTGGAGCGCTTCCCCGAGATTTTCTGGAGTTCCTGTCTGACTTCGTCCTTGATATGGCCGTTTCTGAGGTTCATAGCCCGCTGGTTAATGTCCTACTGGAGAGTCTTCAAGGTCTCGGCGAGCCCGATCTGTTGAGACTCCAAGCATTCCATTGAGACACAGCGAAAAGCTTGCTTGAAGCTTGTGGTAGGTAAGTTCTGTTGGTTGGTAGTAGGCAGGCTGTCAATAGGCAATGGTGTCACGAGGTGCCGTGTTGGACCGAGAGGCGAAGGCGAAAATGCGTGATCCGCTACTCCGAGACTGAGTGGTGCGGCAGATTTCTTTGCCTTTATCTTTGGCCACGGCGGTCAAACGCATCTGAATCTCATATAACCCCCCCATGTTGAATCATCACTCAGAAACGCAGACTCATCCGGAAGAGTAGCAACAACACGTAGCGACCCTCCGTCTTCCCAGAGACTATCAAAGTCAGAACTGGGTGACTTATCCGTCATAAGGTTGGGGATGTGGTATATTACATATAGAATACAATGAGGGACAATAGAGTACTCACAGGCCTCTCTATAGGTCTCGAATGCCTCTCGGATATCTTTGGAAAGTCAGTGCGGTCTACCATAGGCCTTAGCGTTTTCCTTGGAGGCATATTTGCCGTCATGGGTCTAGTCATTATCGACCATCCTCTTCAGTACTTTATAGCGCATTGCCAACGTTCGGTCTGTCCCAGGATATGTATACTAGACACCGTGAACTAGGCGTTGAGAATTAATTGTAAGATTTCAAGGGCATTTAAGATGCAAGGGGTTGTACTTACAGAACTCAGGACATCGAGGGATATGGCTGTTGTTGAAGAGAACTTGATCGAGGTCAAAAGTCCAACCAAATGGATGACAGGACAATTCCAAGAAAGGGCCTTAGTTGAGGGAGATTGGGATACTCAAGGCCATAGAGTGTGAGGTGAGCTGCCATTCTGCTTGGCAGACACTGGGAAAGGATCTCGTGTACTGGACTCAGTCTAAGTCCGATCAAGCCGCGCCGCAAATCTACTGGAGGATTGTTGCATCTTGTCGTTTGGTAAAGAGTAATTGTTGTTTCACGCATTGGTCAGTTCGAACGCAAAAATCTTGATATGAGCATGAGAATCCTTGCAAAGTCGGCGGGACAAACGTAATGTAAGTTTTGTTATCCGTGGTAGTGCTGGTACACTCATTCCCGTTGGTCAGCCCGTCTCAGCGGTTAGATCTATATTTGATCAAGATGAAGAGTTGCATCGGGACGTGTCTTGCGTCGCTGAGATTAGAAACCAATTTGTATCGGGTCATGGATTGCATTGATGATGCACTGGGATCATTGGGGGGGCGTTGACTGATATGGTACAGATTGGCCCCTGTCCCATCTCTCCACCGTCAAAAGAAGTGTCGCCTGCACATTCTGAATAGCAAGCCTTATGTCAGAGGGTGATTCATGTCAAGATGGTCACCTTGTACCAGTGAGTCACTGGGATCAAAGAGACCAGATTGGGCCATATTAAATGGCAGGAATGAACAGAGCAAGGTCCGACGAAAGATGGGTATGCTTTCCGTGCATCGACGAAGGTACACTTGCAAAATACCTCCCTACTTGCCTTGTGTAATTAGCTTTGACCGAGGCCATTACCGAGATACAATTCAGACGGCATGGACGGAAATGAATCAAGAAGTCGGGGACTACAGATAAAACTCGCTTTAGAGTGATTTCAATTATATCGGTTTCCGTTTGTCCAGATTTCCCGTTTCATCAGATCATCAACTTCATTTTTTGGAGGTTTGTGCACATTTTCTAGGTGAATGCTCAATCCTGGATGACATGGGTACCGCTGAGCCGTGGAGGTGGCTAGTGTTGAGGCTGGTGGCTGTGCGTCAGAAAGGGTTGATCAATTCCTGGACCCTATGTCATTCTTGCACAGCCACCTCTTCCAGTTCACAGTTACGAGCAAACAACCCTGAGCATGGCACTAACTCACCTTAGGTTGTTTCTTTCTGGTGCCCTCCTCGAATTTGTTACTGTATTAGTACTCTGTTGCCTGAGAACATGGTCAATCTCTGTGTCCAGGAAAATGGGGGTTCCCAGCCACCAATTTCTTTCCTTCTTGGCAAACATCCAAGACATGGTTATAGTGTGTGCCATGCACGACCTGGCTTGCTACGAGCCAGGTACGTAGCCCATCGGACAAGCCGATGGCGACATGCTCTACTCCGTACTTTCAATCATAATACAAGGTCCAGAGGGAAGGACGATCATATGTTTGCTTTTTACACGCAATCTGGCACACTGACAGAAAAGCTAAAGCTTACTGACTGATATTGCATGGGTTTAGATTGACAGCAAGGCAAATTTGGAAAGCAAGAAAGGATTGATTGAATAGCTTTGGAATGACACAGAGTGGTGACGCATGAGAAACTCGATAACGGCAACTATGGCGAGCAACACTTGGCGGAAAATCGGAATGATTTAAGAAATACTCTGACTCTCAAAGATTTACAAGAAGCTGTAGGCTTTTTTCTGCTAGAGTTCGGACTCGGGTTCGGGCATGGTACGAGACATGGCGTTTTGGAGGGCAAAAACGCTGGCCGATGCGTGGCTGTTTGTCAGGATGGGGATTTCGGCACCAACAAATCGGCAAGGGGATGATAACGGGGATCTGTCACGAGCTTGAGAGACTGTCGGCTCTGGAAAAATGTGAGTTAATTGAGGGTTAGCTTAATGGGACAAGACGTATGGGAGGTCTACAGACGTACACGCGCCTGGGGTTTGGCAAAGTCACGATACGAGTTAACCAAGTATTCAACTTGGAGCGCTCTTATCTCTTACGATATGACTCCTTGTTGCATATTCACATCATAAAACTCGGCTTGCCAAGCCAAAGCAAAGGGCTGCCGTTGAGGAATGTGATGTTAGAGACGGTGACGCAAGATGCGCGGAAGTGAGACTCCTTTGTTGTTTAGACCCGGCCCCGCCATCAAGTGCGCTAAATGTCCAAACTTGGCCGTGATATAGGGTAACGCAACGACGTGCGCAGTCGAATCACCAAGTCGCAGATCGCGTAACCAGAAAGGACATTCCGTGTTGGGCGACTGTCCATGGTGCAACAAAGATTTACACATACTTCGACAATGATCATCAACAAGGGCCTTCATGTCTGCCGACTGACAAATCGTAAACCTTGTCTTCGAAATTGAAGAGAGGGACTAGCCAACACTTTGATTTATTCCGTGCTACAAAAGAGACTACCAATCAGTGCGTTCTCCGCAGCCGTGTCGGCCTCGACTCGACAATGTCGACCGACTGCCTTAGTGCAAACTAAACTAGTGCAAAACCCACAGGATGGATTTCGGATGCATCATGCTGCATGTCGCCACGTGATTATTCACAATAGATACAAGAGGCCGTTTGTCCCGATATGATTCTCTGACACTCCTCGCGTTCACAATCCGCCCTAATAACCCGCCCTCAAAGGACCATGTCTTCTCAGTTTTCCGGAAAGGTATACGTAATCACTGGCGGTGCGTCCGGCATTGGCTTCTCGACCGCAAAGGTTCTGCTTAGCCGAGGCGCAATCGTGGCTCTCTGCGACATCAAAAAAGATGGATTGGACAAGTTCCGAGAGGAGACGCAAGAGAATGACAAAGAGAGAGTGTTTATACGCGAAGTAGATATAACCGATCGCGCGGCCGTCAGATCCTTCATCTCTGTTGTGAAGGATAAATTCCACCGAATCGACGGGTGCGCCAACATTGCCGGTACGGCAGGCTGTCGTCTTGGGCACGATGCCATCTGGGATGTTAGCGACGAGCAGTACGACTTTGTCATGGACATCAACACCCGTGGTGCCTTCAACGTGCTCAGCGAAACGCTCAGGCCTGGGACGATGGAAGAGCCGGGCAGCGTTGTGCACGTATCGAGTATGTACGGCGAGCGCGCGTTTCGAAAAGGCAGCATTTACAGCGCCAGCAAACATGCCGGGATAGGGCTCGCCAAGAGCGCCGCCGTAGAGGCAGCCAAGCGTGGCATCCGAGTGAACATCGTGACGCCGTGAGTTCTACCGCCCTCATTGCTGACTGCATCCTGACCATCTTGCAGTGGGCCAATTGACACTCCTATGCTTCGTTCGAACCAGGAACACGGCGGCGAAGGCACGGCTCCGGATGTGCCAACTGGTCGACTCGGGGAGTCGGAGGAGGTCGCAAACATCGTCATCTTCCTCTTGAGCTCAGAAGCGAGTTACGTCACTGGGGCTACCTGGGCAGTGGATGGAGGCGCCAACTGCTAGAATGACCTAAAGGTGGGATTGTGGAGGATCGACAGGAGGTAGACCTGTAAGTCCAAATAATGGACAGTTTAGAGGCTAAGCGAGTGAGAAATGACTGTCGCTACGTACAGCGACCATTACAGCCATCATCCTATCCTGGGTCTCCTTTTGGCATGTTCTAGGCATTAGTTGCCCGCTATTAATTACACACCCCCCTGGTATTATGGCACCACTCTTTAAAATATCAGCTGGCTGCATTAGCCTCGCTGTGTAGTATATCCTACCCTGGGTCTTTACATGGCAGGTTCTAGGCATTAGTTACCCCACCATTAATTACACTTCACCTAGTATTGTGGCACTACTCTTTAAAATATCAGCTGGCTGCATTAGCCTTACTGTGCGGCATCTCTAGTTCTGGAATATATTTAGATTTTCTGATGGCCCCGAAATTATAAATCAGCCTTTATTTTCTTGGCTAAGTACGGCGAAGATGGCCGCCTGACATGGAACCCTTATTTCAACATTAATTACATAGCGATCATTTCCTAGTCCTACCACCATGACAGGCTCAGCAACATCACTGCCAAAAGGTACCAAGCTATGGGTGAGAAACCCATCTCTCGGTTATTAATGTGACTTACAGTGTGATAGCTACTGGACCTTGGTCACCTTGACATAGATGCTGCTGTGGTTTTTTCCGGTACCAATATATTTCCAGCTCATCTTCCACCTCAGCAGCATGAGAGACGAGACCTGGTCATGATCGCGGCCTTGGTATATCACCCTGATGTCGGGCTTATCCTCTTCGACACGGGGTCTTGCGAAAATGTTATTGCCAGTTGGGGGAAAGAGTCTCTAGAATGCACCCCAAGATTCTGGGATAAGAACGTTCACGGACTACCGGAGGCTATCAGTGCCACGGGAGCTGGAGATATTTCGGACGTCAAGGCTGTCGTGATCAGTCACCTGCACTGCGATCACGCTGGAGGACTAGAGCATTTCATAGACTCAGGTAAGTTTTTAAGCGTTTCCTGCATTGAATGAGGTCTGACTGAGAATTCTTTGTGCGTAGATGTGGAAATCTGGTGTCACGAAGAAGAACTCAAAAACGCGTTCTGGGCCACGGCGACAGGTATTGAGCAAGGCACATACCGGCCTGACTATCTCATGGTAGACCGATTTAATTGGAAGACGTTCTCCGGAACGACTTTTGAGCTATTTCCGGGGTTCAATCTGCATCAGTGCCCAGGCCACACTCCTGGTGGAATTGTGGTGGACTTGGATCTCGAGGAGACTGGTTGCGTTATCCTGACCGGCGATACGTTTCACATTGCCGAGAATTACGAGCTGGGAATCCCCCCGGGGGCGATAACTCGAGATTTCAACGCCTGGCATCGCAGCCGCCAGTACATCCAAAATTTGGCACAGAAGAAGAAGGCAAAAGTGGTGTTGGGACACGACGTGGCCTATTTCCGAGCTCTGAAGGCAAACCCAGGATTCATTCAGTAGACATAGCAGGTCGAAGATGTAGCGAGATAGCTGCTTTAGTGACGTATCTCCACTTCACGGAACCTCAAGATGATATTATGGAGAAAACAAAACGTGATTTCGCTCTTGCTTAACGCCGTATTATAGGTAGTAACGGCTGCATTACAGTGGCAAGCCCTTTGCTCTTATTGATTAATAGTTAAAGCTTATAATATCTTAATAAGATATATTAAGCCAATATACTAAAAAATACCAATTAACTTTAGGCTTCTAAAGGCAATATATCTATAACCTCTATAAAGATAAGTCTCTTAATTAAAATTAAAATAATATACTTTTATAATAATTTAATTAATAATTTTATTAATAGCTATTAAGATATAAAAAGCTGGCCTAATTTCTTATTACTAAAAGCAGAAGAAATTCTTATATAAAAAAATATAAACTATAAACTATAAGAATGCCTCCTGTTCTAAGCGGCAGGATTGCTTCCTTTGCTCTTGTCTGCCATGTCTTGAAGTAGACTTAATTGTAAGAAGGGTTGCACTTTATTATTATACCTATTAAGGAAGGCACTAAGCCTATTGCAACAGGTTGGCTAGCAGGGCGTTTACTAATAGGTAGTCCAACCTGCTAATAGTTATAAAAGAGCGAGATACTATTTAACTTCATAAGTAGGTATTTATTTAGTTAAATGCTATTTTAAATAGTATAATACTTAAGTATATAATTATTATTTAACTTTCTTTTAAATTATAATAGACTTTCCTGCTGACGTTTAAATGTTCCCTTTAAAAAGTCTTTTATTCTTTAATATGGATTGATTAGGTTCCTCCTCTATCTGGTTCAAGCTTTCTCATCGTTCACCACCTCTCGTTAAACTCACTCCTCTACTTAGCCCACTTCTTCATCTCATCAAGTAACTCGCCCCTAAGCTCCTCAATATAAGTCTCCTCCGTTCCTTTTTTATCCCCACTCCTCAAGTCAGGAACCCTCCCCTGTGCGCGTCTATAGCCTTGACGGTAGAACTTATTTCCTTATTTGATTTGTTATTCCCAAATCCAGTCATGATCTTTCGCGCATGGCTAACGGCTTGTGATAGAACCCCGAACATGGCGTTGGCTTCGGATATCTTTTGCTTCATTTGGGTGTCTTTTGAAGTCAGCTTGTCGGCTCTTTCGATAAGGCATTTTAGCTGCCTTCGTAGTTTCTTGTCAACCTCGGCTAGCCCCTTCCGCCGGGTAGCCAGCTCTGTCGTGTGGACCTCATACTTTCACGATTGGATGTATTCTTCACTTGCAGCAAAAAGATCGGGATATGTTAGCCAGGGATCGAGAAGTACGGCTTGTGGCTTAGGTTGATTCTGGCAAAGTCCGGTCATATCGCAGAGTCTATCTCGCCAGGTTGGCTTCGTCGGGGGCGGGATAGAATCAGCTCGGATAGACTGGTTCAGCTTCCATGCTTCTCTGTATAACTTTCTAATCTCTTTCTCCAGGTCATTCTGGGATTATGCAACCGCAGGGATATACTCTCGTGATGGCTTATCCGTGGATATTGCAAGCAGGGAAAGTCCAGTGGTAACAATGCCGAGGATGTATTCAATGTCTATATTTCCAATATTCTTTACTAGGGTCTTGAAGTCACTCGCACCGACCATCACCCCTTTGGCCTTGTATATAATTGAAAGGGCCTGGATGTGTGGTATGGTCATTGCAGGTGTAGTGACTGCGATAAGTTCGTCAACGGAGGAGAAGTAGTTGCTGAATGTGATTATCCATCCAAAGAACTTGACGGTGAACAGTCCATATGCCAAGATGTCACCAATGGATATAGTGCCGTTGGCGATAAGAAGAGCTACAAGCAGAGCAGCCAGACCGCAACAAATCAGGACATACTCAAATATCCAAATGAGGAAACTCAAAAAAGAATAGGGTTTCTCTTCAGAAAGCGGAGAAACCCGGGGACTGCGGTTTCAGGAACGGTAGCTTGTGCTGAAGCTCCGTATGTATTATTGTTAGTCGTTTTTTCTTCGTTGTGATCGTTGTTGTATCTGGGATTGAAGTGAAAATTATTGTTGATGGTCTGCGGTTGAACGTCTACGTCCCGGCGTGGCACAGAAAAGATATCTGTCAGCTGTGCCATCGTCTGGAGAGGCTGGTTGGGAAGTTGGATGACTTGGCTATGGCTTAGTTCCTCTACGCCAAGAAGTAACGCTTTATTCGTGACCGGTGGTGAAGAATCTCTAGAACCAGGGAGTAAAGCACATTCAGTGATTTGAAGACTTAAAGGATGCGTTTCATTGTTTGCTTCACCTAGCGGATGAATGCTTGATGTAGAAGATTGTGTTAATTTAGTTAGCTTTACCTAAGTATTAATTATCGTTGGATACAGACTTTTCTGCGACGGTTCCTTTGGGCTCTTAGAATGTGCCTGGGTCTTCCACCATCTGCGGCGGAAGGCATAGTTGTTGATGGTTCAGGAGATGTGATGATGACTGAGAGGAGGGTATGACCAGGATCAGGATGCGAGAGAGGGTTGATGAAGAATAAGGAGGCTCATTCACTGGGTATCAAACGACATGTGACTCACGCCACAAGATGCGCGAATACAAAGAATGACTTATCATCCGCAACTAAATGCTTTTAAATATCAAGGCTGTCGATGTTTGGGTTCAACCCCTATTGACGAATGGCTCCCTGAGATGAGTACAGGATTAACATGATACAACCACGGTCCGAGACGAGACACAGAAAGTGGTCTGTCTTATTACCTACAGCAAGCAAACTAAGTACTCACCTGGTGGTGTACCATGGGATCAACTGATTGGCTGATGAGGGGCTTGTCAGTGGGACAATAGCAAGCGCACTTGGGATATGAATAGGATCGAGTCTTTTGCCAAGACGCCACAATCACATTGCAGTGATACAGAAGACAGCACTGTGTGTGTCCAATGCTATAGAATGCGATGGATGACTGATACAGGCTTCTATTTGGAACGTACTTCACTGTCAAGTTTGACATGTCATACTTAGTTCTTCCAACATTCTAACAATACCATGTTGTATCCAAAATGGTTTCTGATCAATGGACTTTTATCTTTTTCATCTTGATTGCTCAAAACCTCACTTTCATTTCCCTTAAACACCATCCTATATCTCCTGGAGCATATATTTTCTTATATTCACTGCCATAGTCGGCCTCGCAGGCGTAGTCTACAACGGCATAGCCAACAAAGGCATACCCTAGGGAGACGTACCCTACACGGCCATCACCTGGAAAAGCATTCGATTCTGGAGAACCCCAACACCGGACAGCATCAGCTCCATGAAAGGCCTTCCTGCAATTCCCTTACTCCTCCACCCCTTCGGATGAATTTGCAACTCACATATACTCATCACTATAAGCCTTAGTGCCCGACACTAAAGCAACATGCATGAGTATCCTCGGACTCGATTCGAAGGAAACCCTATCTAACGACCCCGTAAAGTGCGGCATCCTAGCGACGCCTAAGTTTGGCTCTGCTAATGATGCGT